AGAGACTTTTTTCAGGTTGATGGAGGCCTCATGTTTCTTTGTTGTTGTTCTTCAATGTGAAGAACAACAACTTTAGGAGAACTATAGTGAATTGTGGATGAAAAATTATGACAGACAAGAGTCTTTTTTATAGACTGAAAAACTAGGTTAACTTGTTAGAGAAGGAAATTCTCCAAATAATAAAAAAAGCCCAAATTTATCTTGATCAGCAAGCTATCCAATTAGATGTCAGAACGATACAGGACGATCAATAGGGAACAAGTAAAAGAGATTTGATTTTTTTAGTGAATTTTTAGACACTTTTTGATGAAAATGCATAAAATAAATTAAATATTATTATTAAAAATTGCCTAAAATAGAAAAACGAAAATAATATTTAAATAATAAAAAACATGATTTTTGAGAAGATTTGAATGTAACTTGAAATTGAAATGAAATTAACAAAAAATAGAATAAAATAAATCATCAATCCAAATAATTAAAACCCAAAAAGAAATCAAAATTTTGGATTTATAATTATTGTAACCAATTACATTGATTCTCTTCTAAAATAAATATTACTACCTAAAATACAAAAGATAATAAAATCTTTTTAAATCTTTTTTTATTTTAGATTTTTTTGGTTTTTTTTATAATAAAAAGTGGAAAAAAATGAAAATAACTATTTTTTTAAAATTCATTAATTAAAAATTACGTAATATTTAAATATTTAAAAAATGATTATTTTTTTAATGATTTTTATAAATGGAAATAAAGTTAGTAACAATAAACAAAGAAATATAAAAAATGTTAAAAAGTGCACCATGAGAGATTCAAACCCGTGACCTTATATTTGCAAACTTCTTTCCTTACCAATTGTGCTATGTTCCTTATTCAAAATAAAAAGCCAATTGAAAGTACATGAAGACGAGCAAATATTTATTTATTCAAAAATACAAATGATCTGATATAGATCATTATATTTTTAAATAGGTTTCAAAGCGAATATTTATTAAAACTCCATAATGTTAATATAATTAAACCAAAAGAGTTTTATACTCAGTAAAACCCAAGTTCGAAAATAAATTTGACAGTAGCACTAAGACGGACAAATTTGGGGTATGACAATGGGATCCTCCAACACAATTGCTCCATAATCTTTCACATCTTTGATCACGAACATACCCGACCATTTGGACTTCAACTTTCTCGGAAAAAGTTTTAATCGAGAATTGAAAAGAAGCACCATTTGGCCAACTTTGAAGTCTTTGTGACAAATCTGTCATGATAAAATTTGACTTTCTCTTTGTACAACTTGTTGGAGTGATACGCATCATTGCATAATTCATCAAGACCCTGCAATTGAATTGTTCTCTTTTCTCCGGCCAAGTTAGAATCAAAATTTAAGAATTTTAATGCCCACAAAGCCTTGTGTTCAATTTCCACTTGAAGCTGACAAGTTGTTCCATACACCATTTGAAACGGTGTCAAACCAATAGGAGCTTTGTAAGCGGCGCGATACGCCCACAAAGCATCATCAAGCTTAATTGACCAATCATTCCGTGAACTTGACACGGTCTTTTCCAAAATCCTCTTAACCTCTCTATTTGAAACATCAGCTTGTCCATTAGTTTGTGGATGATATGGAGTCGCCACTTTATGCTTTACATCATAGTTTTCTAAGACTTTTTAAGAGGTGCATTACAAAACTGTGACCCACCATCGCTAATTAAAACGCGCGGAGTGCCACAACAGAAAAATATATTTTTCTTTAGAAATTTGATAATTGTTTTGCCGTCTTCCCTTGGACAAGCCATCGCTTCTACCCACTTAGAAATGTAGTCCACCGCAATAAGGATATAGTCATTAGAAAATGATGAGGGAAAAGGTCCAACAAAGTCTATGCCCCAACAATCAAAAACTTCTATTTCCAACATACTATTCAAAGGAATTTCATCTCTTTTTTCAACTCCCCCGCTCCTTTGGCATTTGTCACAAATCTTTGCATGCAAGTGTGTATCTTTAAACAAAGACAACAAAAAAAAGTCTGATTGAAGGACTTTCGTTGCCGTTCGCAAACCATTAAAATGACCTCTATACGGAGAATTGTGACAATGCCAAAGTATATTTTTTTATTCCTCCAATGTCACACACCTCCTTAACAAATTATGACTTCCAAGCCTAAACAGATAAGGCTCGTCCCACACATAAAATTTTTCCTCCGCCAAGAATTTTCGCTTTTGGTCCCAAGTTAGATCTTCTGGTTTCAATCCGGATACCTTGTGATTCGCAAAATTGGCAAACCACGGTGTAACTTATATCATAAAAAGATTTTCATTCAGAAATTCTTCTCTAACCTTACTTTATTGGTTAATAATCTCTACATTAATCAAACACGATAAGTGATCCGCTACCAAATTCTCAGAACCTTTCTTGTCGCGAATTTCAAGATCAAACTCTTGCAATAAAAGTATCCGTTGAATAAGTCTTTGCTTAGAATCTGGTTTTGTAAGCAAATATTGTACCGCCGCATGGTCAGTGTAAACTACAACCTTTGACCCAATGAGGTAGGATCTAAATTTTTCCAATGCATACATAATAGCTAACAATTCTTTTTCAGTTGTTGCATAGTTAATTTGTGCTTCATTAAGAACTTTGCTAGAATAATGTATATCGTGAATTTTTTTCCTTTTATTTAAACAAGAACTGCACCAATAGCATAATCGCTAGCATCACACATTAGTTCAAAATCCATTTTCTAATTTGGTGCTACGATTATGGGTGCATTTGTCAAATTTTGTTTCAAATTGTTAAAAAAATACTAAACAAGCATCACCGAAAATAAAAGACTTATCTTTGTTGAGCAAGTTGCTCAATGATCTTGCAATTTTTGAAAAGTCTTTGACAAATCTTCGGTAGAAGCCCGCATGACCCAAAAAACTTTGGATTCCTTTCACGTTCAATGGTGGTGGTAATTTCTCGAAAACCTCCACTTTGGCCTTGTCAACTTCAAGCCCCTTGGATGAAATTTTGTGACCAAGAACAATTCCCTTGGTAACCATGAAGTTACATTTCTCCCAATTAAGCACTAAGTTGGATTCCACACACCTCTTCAAAATGGTATCTAAAATTTTCAAACAAAGATCAAAAGATGCCTCGAAAACGAAGAAGTCGTCCATGAAAACTTCCATAGTCTTCTCAATAAGATCGGAAAATATGGCTTGCATACACGTTTGAAACGTTGCTGGTGCATTGCACAAACCAAAGGGCATCCTCCTATACGCAAAAACTCTAAACAGACAAGTGAGATCCGTTTTCTCATTATCTTCTGGATTTACCGAAATTTGGTTATACCCGGAATACCCATCCAAAAAACAATAGAACTCTTGACCCGATAACCTTTCTAGCATTTGATCCATAAAAGGAAGAGCAAAATGATCTTTCCTAGTTGCTGGATTAAGCCTTCGATAATCGATACACATCTTCCATCCCGTTACGGTTCTTGTCAGAATCAATTCATTCTTTTCATTTCTTATAACTTTCATTCCACCTTTTTTTGGAACCACATGTACCAGACTCACCCAAGTACTATCGGAAATAAGATAAATCATCCTGGCATCCAATAGTTTCACAACTTCCTTTCTCACCACCTCTTTCATTGTCGGATTCAAGTGTCGTTGAGGTTGAGTTACGGGTTTGAAATTCTCTTCCATAAATATCTTGTGAATACAATAAGTCGGGCTTATGCCTTTTAAATCCGCTAAAACCCAACCTATTGCACTTTGATTTTATTTAAAAACTTGAACTAAACAATGCTCCTCCTTCTCTGATAAAGCATTACTAATGATTACCGGTTTGTTACCACCATCATCAAGAAATGCATACTTTAAGTGAAACGACAACATCTTCAATTCAATTTTGGACTCTTCTTCTTTAGCTTCTTTCTTCAAAATTTCAATTTCTTCCTCCCAAGATTGAACTTTTTCTAAAGCTTCAAGTTCCTTCACGCAACCTTCTAATTCCTTTTCTTCATGGACATCAAGAACTTGAATAATATTATTCAATGCCCTCTCAAGAGGTGTTGAAAGATGAACATCACTAGAAACATCCCAAATAACTTCTTCAATGGAATCAAGTTTAAAACAAGCTCCCTTATCATTAGAATGTTTCATAGCTTCAAAGAGATTAAAACTTACTTCTTCATCTTGAACTTGGAACTTACTTTTAGTGAGATAGATTTCAAATTGTTGTTTCTTTCGCAAGTGAATGACTTTGTCTTTTTTTTCTGAAACAAGTTGTACATCATATTTCCATAAATATCTAGTTTAGTTTAATGGAAACTTGTTCAGGAAGTATTAAGTTGTGTGTACTATGTCTATCTATCTACATACCTCAATGGAAGAGTTGAAGAGTCTGAGAATGGTAACGGCTATCAAGACTCCATACCAACCCAATGGCACATATGAATATTTTATGGGTTGAAGAAGTTTGAAGAAACTCAAAAATGAGAGAAGTAATATATATTTAATTTGTAAACTTAATCCAAAAGTGAAAATGCCTCAATGGTTAAGTAAATCGCGTAGTAACTAGTCTATATCTGGTTCAGATCCGGGTGTAGAGTAATTTTTTGAGTTTTTGTTAAATTTTAATTAATATGGTGATAATCATATGTCACGTCAAATTCCACGCGTATAAACATATCTCACACACCAGATGCCAACAAGCAAAAGTTGACGCCATTTAAAAAAATTAGACGAAAAAAATTAATATAGATATTTTTTTTAATAATTAAAGAACCACTTTAAAACTTTTCAAAAATTAAATAAAAAGGATATTTTATCTTAATTAATTAATTAAATCAAATCATCATTGACAATAACAAACTATATAAAAAATACATAAGCTATTAATAATTAACACAAACACAAATTCGACATGTGATACCGATAAAACTTATAAAATATAAATATATTAAACATAATTATATGTCAGCGTTAAACACCGACATGACACCGAACATGTTAAAGGCCTCTTGCAAGCATTTTCTCATAATTTTCAATGGATTGAAGCCTTTGAATCATCAACTGTTGTCTGAAATTCTTGATGAATGCATCAGCACTGGCGTTGACGTCTTCTGTAGTTTTCCTCTCTAGCTTCTTATAATTTGTTTCTAGAGAGTCCTCTGCTTTCTTTATCTCATTATGGTCACATGATGATGAAGTTGAGAAGTTTATGATCTTCTTTGTCATGTTGGTGCTACTTTTTTCTTCTATTTGCTTGAGATCTGATGATGATGGGATGTTGCTCCTTCTCATTGTGGACATGGCTTCTCCAATTGAATGTCAAAGGCTAACTATAGATGTATGGCATGTGTTATGGAATGGATGCTTCATGGAGAGGCTCATGTGCTTCCTTATATATAGATACATAATAGAGATAAAGATTAATTAATTGTAGGACTAATGTGTACTTTTTCTACTATTATTATTTTACTTATATATTTTTTTCTAATTTAAGTAAAATAGGTAATACTATACAGAAAATACTATTAAACTATATAGGTGCATTGCATGCAATAGAGATCTTCAACGCAATGAAAATAAAATAATGAAGATAGGCATGTGACGATTGACGCCCATCTGTGGCATTGATTGAGGGACATGGGAAGCTGCTGCCGACCCACATTGGAGTCTTAATGATGTCCACATTACATCTCTTTCATTTGTTATACATTTCTTAGAAATGTCAAAAAGGTTTGTAGGGTGGTAGAGTGTCTCATTAACTTAACTTATTATACTTAAACGTCCATCTCATAATTGTTAATTTATTGAAAAATATATATGATATGCACCATTAGTTTAAAATAATTTTATATTGATAATTAATCACTAATGTATTTTTGCTACATTTATTTAAAAATTAAAATTATTTTAATGATATAATAAATTATTGATTTTTATTGGACGATAATATAAAATTATTTTATAATGTCAAATGTATGTTTATTGAACTCTGTTTTTTTTTTAAATAACTTGTTTATTTTTTTCCCTCAAACATTAAGTGATCTAAGTTAGAGTATTTTATCAAAAAAAATTAAATATATTTTTCATAAAATAAATTTAATTATAAATATATATAATATGATAAGTTATTATATTTTCGAGTTGTTTTGTTGATTTAAATATCTTTCTTTTTCACAATTTTTTCAGAGGAGGTCAAAAAGGACAATATATGTTATATTTTTGTTAGATATGGATCGGTCAGTGATGTTTTCATTCTAGATAAAAGAGGTGCATTTGATAAATAATTTGATTTTATTCGTGTCAAGAGGGTGAAAGATGATATATATTTGCAGGAGCTCTTAATATTTAGGTCGAGGAGTACAAGTTTCATGTCAATATTCTAAGATTTAGGAGAAAATATGATGAGAAAAATTCTAGCAAAAAGATAGATTTCAATAGACTTGTTCTACATAAGAAATCCCAAAAGTTCATTTCTCGTACACCTCTTAGGAGTGGTGTTTGTTATAAGGAGGTCGCCAATCATGTCTGGCATATCTATGATGAGGATTGTTTATCGGCTACACCATATTGCCACCTCCCTTCCGGTGAAAGTTTTGCTTTTCCAATCAGATTTCTTGAAGTTAATTTGTTGGTGGAACAAGAGATGCATTTAACCTCTTGTATTATAGGCCATCTTATACTTTTGATCGAATGAGCCTATATCCAATAACTATTTGTTGAGACATAATTGTCAGTTAAAAGTTCTACATTACTTGGAAAAGTGGAAGTTTAGCATTTTATAAGTGATATAACTTTATATCCAAATCCTTAAGGTTTTAGGCGAGTATGTGATGTATCTCTCACTTGTGTGTTGCTCTTGATCTAATATGGATGATCTTTCTCATGAACCACAAGGGGTATCAAAGCCAACGGTTCGAGTAAGAGATTGATTCTTTGTATCGAAAGTCTTTTCGATATGGTGCTTGTTAGGTGATGTGTCTCGTTGATGTTTCTATGATGCGGTAAAGGTGTCAATGGAGATACAAGTGTATATGGATAAAAATACTTCCGCTTGAGGGCGAGCATAGTGGATGAACTCATATTTAATGGAGAAATTATTGACACACAAGTGTGAGTTAAAAGTATCACATTGTTTGAAAAAGTGGAGGTTGAACACTTTATAAGTGAGATGATCCATATACATAATACATTAAGACTTTGAATGAATATATAGTGTTTCTCTCACTTATATGATTCCTCTTGATCTAATGTGGGTGCTCCTCCTCATGACCCATCACTACTCATAATCAATGATTTCCCCACGTCATTGTAGTTCATATGAGTTGGTACTTAGGGCTTTTGAGTTCCCTTGTGACCAAAGATTTGCATGAAATATTATATAGCCTTTAGGTTTGGTGGTTAAATGTGTTTGTTTTCATTGTGTCTTGTGAAGGTGAAAAAACACTAGAATAGAAGTGAATGATATTGGAGTATAATTTTTTTTAATGTTTAAAATAAAAACTAATTCAATTATAAATGATGAACGTAAAGAGATAGGTGAAGAGAGATTAGCATAGAGAAAACATCCTAAATGATTTGGAGTTACATCCAATTCTCTCATATTTGAGAGATTTTCACTATATGAGAGATTATGAAAGTCATTATAATTTGAATTATTTACATAGACTGGGAGATTATGAAGTATTCTTCAAAGAATAAATGTCTACAAAACTCATTTAATCTTCACTGAAATATAAGTTCAACATAGGATAACAACTTAATCTTTAAGAAAAATCTCATAGCCTAGAATTTTTGGCATTTAGTTGAATAGAGGAACATGATAATAAATTGAGTAGCTCTTGTCTAAAGAATATCGTTAGAAGAATCTACTAATAGGTAACAAAGTGAAGTCTTCATGTCATACACTCAGATGACGATGCTTTACTAGAGGCTATCAAGGTACTTAATGATCAATGGGTCATATCATATATTTCATATTCATCTAGAGTCCAGACGATCATTAGATAGAAATAGAATTTCACACTCTTTCTAGAGAATAGATAACTTAGAATCTTTTAATTGAATTATTCACATGTAACACATATTAGGTGGTAAAACTATTCTCTTACAACTAATTATCGATTTTAAAAAAACATGTTTTCCAACTAAAATATCAAAATAATCATGTTTCATTAGTAATTTCCAAAATACCCATGTTTTAAACAAAAAAAATATTGTGTAGAAATCAAGCCATGTGAATTGGCTCTTGTACTACAAAATTTAGAAGGCAAGCCAATTGAATTGGCGCTTCCAATGGGCCAAGGCAATCCAATTGTGCTTATGTCTTAGACTTTAAATGAAGCACCGATTGAATTGACGCCTAAGTGTTGCGTCTTTTGTAGGTTATCAATTTTGTTGGGTAGGGAATATGTGTAAGTGGTTTGGTAATTTTGTTGGGTATATGTTGAAAGAAGTTGGTGTGGTTAGACTAAATACCTATTTTCGAACACATACTCAATTGTAATCGATCTATACCAATACATATAACTAGAAGACTGTGTGCTAGCTATTAAAAGTGTTCACGTGGAAAAATTTGTTGATTATATTGTAGATTGCTAGACGGAGACAACTTATCTAGAGGGGTGTGAATAGATCTCCCATGAAAAATATTTCTTAAAAACTTGTTTTAAAATTTAAGAATAAACTATTGCAAGCGGGAGTTGAAGGGAAATTAAGATATAAACGCAGCGGAAAAACAAGAATTCCCTTTTGTAGATCCTTACGAATGATGCCTGATCAGTGATAAAATGCTTATCTCTTGTGGTGATTAACAATTTGATGTTGATCTGGATGAATGATTACGAGCATTGAATGAAGAACAACGTCTATACTCAGTTCACACGAATAGAGTGCCTTCAATCTTAATGCTAGCTGCTACAAATGAAGACTTTGAGTGAGAGAGAAAGAGAGAATTATGGCCATAATTTCACTAATGGAATTTCATCAAATGTCAAAGCTTATGTACAAGGGTTGTATTTATATAACCACTTGTAGGGGCTTATAGTGTTCCATAATTATCTCAAGTACGCAGTACCTTACAATGTTCCTTATTTATTTTATCTCTAATCAATCTGTCCTTATGTGTGTGACCCTGTAGGTTATCATGACATTGGAAATTATATTAAATCATACATTTAATATAATAAACAGTGAACGGTATCTAGAAACACATCACTGCCACCCAAGTCACAAAAATGTCATGTGATCTGACAATACCTTTTCTGTGATAATGTTTGTGTAATTACCTTTTTTCCCTCATGTTTGTATTGAACACAAGCCATAGACTGTGTCACCCTCGTCTAGTTCAATATTTGGACCTTAGATATTTATCCTATTATGTAGGATGAACAAATTCTATCTAGGTCACTCATGTTCCTCCACATGCTTTGTGGAGTATCCATTAACTGTCTTTATGGTCATCCAGTCATGGGCAACATTTGATCAACAATAAAGTAATTGACTCCACATCTAGGGTTCATAGTGGTTTCAGGTTGAAGGGTGGTATACACCACTATCACTATGAGAATAATTTATGACATTTTGCATAACTTTCTATGTAATATTCTAATAGCGGGTCAATCCAGTATAAATATTACTCCTAATATTCATACATATGTGAAGACTTGATAACTCTTTATTCATGGTCCATGAGATATGATCATCAGTCTATCCATATAATAGTCTCAATACTTTAATGTTATCTCACTTTACAATAAAGCTCAACTATGGATACTTTAAGAATAGTGTCCTTATGTTTAATGGGATCTCATGATTAAGTCATACTTAATATTTCATTAAACGAATTAGCTATTCTAGGGACTTTATTATTTTGGAAAAGCAAACATAATAAAGAAATATCTTTTAATTATTAATAAATAATTCGATAAAAGTACCAAGTTATAATAAAAATATTGGCCTCTAGGGCTTACACCAACAATCTCTGACTAGCACTAGAGCCAATAAGGCATACCCCTAATATCTATAGATCTAGTATGGCCATCATGCTTCTGCTGTGCAATAGGCTTTTTAGTGGATCTGCAGCATTGTCAAGTGTAGGTACTCTACATATCTTTACATCTCCCATATCTATTATCTCTCGAATAAGGCGATACTGCCTAAATATTTGTTTGGTTCATTGGTGAGATCTAGGCTACTTAGCTTGAGTGGTAGCACCATTATCATCATAATAGATATCAATGGGATCCACAATGCTATGGACTATGCCAAGTTCATAATGAACTTCTTGATCCAAATAACTTTGT